TAAGTGATACTCTTGCCTAAGCCTCCCAAGTAGTTGGGACTACAGGTACCTGCCACAACACCTGGTATTTTTTTGTTGCAGTTATTTAGCTGACTTGGGCTGGGTTGAACCCTCCACGCTTGGTGTACGTGACTGGAGCCGTAACCACTATGCTAGGGGTGCTGAGCCTAAGTGACCATTTCTTAAGAAATCATTTGGTGGCTTGGTGCCCACAGCTCAGTGGTTAGGGAGCCAGCCACATGCACAGGAGCTGGTGGGTTCAAACCTGGCCAGGGCCAGCTAAACAACAACAAAAATAACAAAAAAATAGCTTGGGTGCTATGGCAGGCTTCTACAGTCCCAGCTACTGGGAGGCTGAGGTGTGATGAGTCTCTAGTACGGCACCTAGTATACTGCAAGCATTTAATAAATGTTAAAGCAAGGAGCTGGCAGCCCAATCTCTTAACTTCTCTAAGACACAATAGCCTCTCATCTGTGAGGTGGGGATGATGAAGTTACTACAGGGTGGGTTATGAGGACCAAACGAAAACATAGCACTAAGAGCTCTTCACACATTGCCAAGTGTTATATAGACATTAAGTGTTACTATCACTGGGCCAAAAGGAGATTCACAGTATAACTAAGAAATATCTAAAATCAATCATGATGGGATCCTGTAGGAGTTGGCCTCAGCAAAGTACCTTCAGCTCTTATGCCCTGGCCTTATCCCATTCCTAAAGGATGGATAAGATAGGCCGGGCACAGTGGTTCACACTTGTAATCCCAGTACTCTGGAAACCTGAGATGGGAGGATTGCTTGAGGTCAGGAGTTTGAGACCAGTCTGAGGAAGATGGAGACCCCATCTCTATAAAAAACGGAAAAATTATCTGGGCGTGGTGGTGTGTGCCTACAGTCCCAGCTACTTGGGAAGCTCAAGGAGGATCTCTTGAGTCCAGATACTTGAGAATGCAGTGAGCTATGATGATGCCACTGCACTCTGATCTCGGTGACAGAGTGAGACCCTGTCAAAAGAAAAAGAAAAAAAAATACAGGAGTCATTGGCTTCATTGGACAGTTGCCCAGAAAGGATACGGCGCACCTAAGACTGTGGATCATAAACACAGCCAATCCTTGCGGACAGCTCAGGTCTCTGGACTCCCAGACCTGCAGACAAAGTAGCCAAACCCTTGTTTTATCAAAGCAATGCTGGAGAGATTACCTATGATGCGTAGCAAAAATTCCATATAAAGGAACATATCAAGGTTTTTCCATTCCCCAGACAAGTGTCCCTGTAGGAATTCTTACACAGTCATTATGTCCACCTGCCTTGGCACCCCAGAGTGCTAGGATTACAGGTGTGAGCCACTTATTTTTTTTTTTTTTACTGTTTTGTTTTTTTCCCCTGAATATTTTCAAATCCTTGGTTGGTTGAATCCACAGAGGTGGAACTTATTGATACAGAGGGTCAAATGCAGCTCATTAAATTTCATAATCATGTATACAGACTGGCTTTGGGACAATTTTGTAGCTGTTGTTCTCTAGCCCTTTGAGAAGAGTCATGTGGTAAGGTCTGGCAGGGGCTCCACCACACAAAGGACATTGAGGAGTGGTTGACATTTTCTGGGGTGTACTTCCTGGGTGCGTTCCCTATACCAGTGTTCCTTGAACTTGAGGTCAAACAACCTTTGGAGAATCCAAAGAAAACTTCTAATTGTTCAAGAAATAAAACCAACCCAAGTGTCCATCAATACATGTGTGGATTAATAAAATGTGGTGTGTGTGTGTATCAGGGACTACTACACAGTCACAAAAAAATGTGAATCAATACCTTTGGTAATAATCTGGATGGAACTCAGTCCATTTTTCTAAGTAGAGTTTTGCAAGAATGGAAAAACAAACACCACTTGTGCTCACCCTTAAACTGGAACTAATCAATCAACACCCATGTGCACATTGGGAAGTTTTGGAAAGCAAGCAGGTGGGAGGTGGCAGGAGGGGAGGGGTAAATTCACATCTAACAGGTACAAAGCATACTATCCAGGAGACGGATAACTTCGACTCAAACTGTACAAAAGCAATTCGTGTAACCAAAACATTTGTACCTCCATAATAATCCGAAAATTTTTAAAAAAGAAATATAATGTAACAACAAAACTGGCATCCAGTGGTCAGACCTTCCTTCCAGTCCTGCAGTCTCTGCTTTCCTACAGAGCAGGCAGCTCTGTCCTTTAGCTTTGTGTAGAGGGGAAGGAAAGAAGCTGGATTCACTCAGATGAGCAGGGAAGTTCTGTGATGAGAAGCTTAATGGCTCAACCCCCAAAAAGAAGACTTCAGTCCTTCAGTCTTTGTAGGACTGATAATCTAAGATAGGCATTACTACAGGCTGGAATAGAGCCAAGGTTCAGAGTGGACCCCTGCAGGGTGGCAAGAAGTAGCTGTTCAAAATCTGATGTTTTGCTAGACCCTAGGAAGAGCTGCAATAGTCCACAGGACATCTGTTTCTTTCTACCAGATCACTAATCAAACTTCTCCTTCCATTGTTAATAATACCAATTTGTCTTTGGGAAACCACTCCTCCTATACTTTCAAGTCATTTGGTTCCAACAAGGCTGACCATTTCTAGTGTCACATGACCCATGTCTGGACTTTTGGAGAATTCTAATTTCCTCCACTCTCTACCGTCCTGAAACAATGATTGTGTTGGAGATGCACTGGCTTTTTTTTTTTTTTGAGATAGAGTCTCACTTTGTTGCCTTCTGTAGAATGCCATGAAGTCATAGTTCATAGTAACCTTAAACTCCTGGGCTCAAGTGATCCTCTTGCCTCAGCCTCCCATATAACTGGGACTAAAGGTGCCCGCCACAAAGCCCAACTATTTTTAGGGTTTTGGTCTTGCTCTTGCTCAGAGTGGTCTTGAACTCCTGAGCTCAGGCAATCTACCAGCTTCATTCTCCCAGACTGCTAGGATAATAGGCATGAGCCCCTGTGCCCAACCACACTGGCGTTTTTGAGTAAACCAAAACCACTTAGTCTGTGTAATATCACTTGAGTCCCTGGACTCAGCTATGCCTGAACCTAGCTAATCCAGGATTTTGGGATTAAAGAAGCCAGTAAGCTCCCCCTCTGTGGAGGTATGCGTGGTGGTGGTTAGGGAGACAGAGTGTTACTCTTTTGTTGCCTGGGCTAGAGTACTGTGATGTTAGCCTAGCTCACAGCAACCTCAAACTCCTAGGTTCAAGCAATCCTCCAGCCGCCTCTTGAGTAGCTGAGATTACAGGTGCCTACTACACAGAAAAACGCCTGCTTAGTTTTTCTATTTTCAGTAGAGATGTGGTCTCACTCTTGCTCTGGTTGACCTCAAACTTTGAGCTCAAGTAATTCTCCTGCCTTGGCCTCCCCAAAGTGCTAGGATTACAGGCATGAGCCACCATGCCTGGCCAGTAAGTTTCCTTTTTTTATTTCTCTGGTTTCTATCAGATTTCTGTCACTGCTGTAAAGAATTCTACTAGTTACAGAGTTGTCAGAGGGGCAGAACTGGGCACTGCCCCATTCTCTGCAACCTGGCTGAGAAAGTCCATAGGCCAGGCAACTTAATCTAAGGAGGTACGGATGCAATGTGCCTGGTTCTATCAACCACCACGATGCCCAGCCTTATCACGTTCCTTCCCAATAACGCTGGCTCGGAGCATTGGAAGATCATGAACTCAAAACCAGATGGTCCAGGGTTCAAATTCTGCCCCTTATCACCTGGAAAAGTCACGAAACATCTTGGGCCTTACTTTTCTCCTTTCTAACATGGCAGTGTTAAGATAGACCCTATGCCATAAGGTTGCATTTAAAATCAAGTGAGAAGTGGTGTGTGCAAATGTTTTAGTACAATAAACAATCTGTGCCTCTAACAGATATTCTAAAAATGTCAGCTTTAATTATTATTTTAATTTTATGGTAGTGGGACACAACTGCTTAGGATTCTTTGAAGCCAGAGAACATCTACATCCTTGTAGTCATACACTGTTTAAAAGCATCATTTGCTCCCAGTTAAGCAGGAGACATGAAAGCAGCTAGTGCCCATAGTCTTTTTAGCTCCCTCCTTGAGACTTTTGTGCTCCCTCAAACCAAACTGTTTACAGGATCATCAGACATCTTGGTTATGAGACAGGCAAGTGGACACTTAACTAGGCTTTGATGTTAAACAAATCTGAGTTTAAAACATGAGCTCCATTCTCCATTTAGTAAAGTGTCCTGGGTGCATCTTTTCCTTTCTGACTTTGAGAAAGGATTAAAACATAACGATTATAATACTTGTCTTCATAATCTTCATGAAAACTGAACAAGATGAGGAGTAGAGAAAGCCAGGCACAGAGCAGGCATTCTACAACAGTTAGGATTATTGGAACCATCCTGGTGCTGCTCCCAAGCCCTAGTTACCTTCTCTTAGCCTCTTCGTATCGAAGGCGCAATCTGACCTTCTCTGCCAACTGATTGTTGCCGCTTGTGCCGAACTGGAGGAGAAAAACAAAGTCGGGAATTACACGGCTGTTGTGGCCGGTGCTGAGCTGGGTTTCAAGAGCTCATGGGAGACGTGACAGCTTGCGTGGGCAGTAGCCAAGAATAGCCCCCAGTGACTGGGCCGGCTGTGCGGATCTCAGGGAAGCTGGTTAAGCAAAAGCCCTTTCCTTCCTTCAGGCCATGGGACAGCCCCAAACTCAGACATCTTTCACTTTGAAAATAGAAGCCGAGGGCCCAGAAATATCATCTTGCAGCTCCAAATGGCTTGGAGCCAATTCAAGCCACAGAAGCGTAGAGGACAGGTGGTGAGGAGGAAACAGGGACAGCCAATAAATACACAAGAAAGCCATTCCGGGGGTGCTGGGGAAGGGTCACTGCAGCACTCGGAGAGGACGCAGTCAGAGGGAGACACTAGGTGAGCAGGTAGAAAGCCCTTGAACTTAGAAGGAGGCACACAGTTTCTTCACAAATACTTCAGCCTGCAGGCGGCTTGTAGCTGGACACACGGGTGGTGTGGGGAAGGGACAGCCGCTCTCGCAGTGCCAGTCTGTCAAAGCAGCAAGAAGCTACTACAAGGCTCACCGGATCACACACGGACATAGCTTCTCTTCACAAGTGGGAAGACAGCTATGGAAATCAGACAGGAATAGCATTCAGCCACAGAGGCTGGGAGGAGGCAGATTTGTTCAGTGTCTCCCCCACTAGGAAGACAAAAGTGCTCCAGAAGTTACAGACCTCCGTGGGTCAGCCCTACTCTAACGCATTCCCCGACCTGCATCTGGGCAGCACTTTCACTATTCATAACTAGGATGGGACTGAGCTTTGGAACTGGGAGTCGAGCAGCTGTCTGAAAGCTGCGTGCATTGTTTTGGGACTAACAGGAGGAAAATATCCTTTGCTTTCCAGCTGGTGAAAGACAAACAGAATGGAACTGCAAAATAATATTTAAAAAAAAGAGAGAGAGAGAGCAAGAGAGAAAGGCACTTTGCCCTCTAAAAATGCTTTCTGCGCAGCATCTAGAGATATAAGCACCTGGCCAGGCCATACTCAGCACTGTGGCATCTGTCCTTGCAGGGTTTTTCTCGACACCATCATGTCATATCCTCCTGGGGCCAGGAGGTCTGCAAGGGAACAGCGCTCCAGAGGGCTGACAGCAGCCAGACCCCCAGAGGGCGGCCACCACCAGCCAGCTCCCCAGGTGAGCAATGTGAAGGCAGCTGCTGTCCCCTGGGAGGCCCCCACAGCACGCACTGCCTACTCACACTTCCTGAGATGTCCGTCTGGGAGCTCACGTCCAGGTATTGTTTTGGCAGCGGGAAAACTGAACTCTCCAGAGAGCTACTGCTGGACCACAGGTCTGAGTGAGACCCTCTGTCGGTGCGGAAGTCATCCTTCAGCATGGCAAGGCTCTGCAAGTGGGAGGACAGGGTTGGGGATGCTACTTCATGGGAGGCAGCTCTGGGGCTGCCATGCCTCCCTCTCTACCTCCCCTAATGTTAGAGACCCATGTTTGCCCACATGTCCTACTGGTCCTATGGAGAGCTGGGAGCAGGCAGGTCCTTACTGTGTACCAGGGTTTGTGCTAGGACCTTAATGTGAGAGAGACTGGTGTGGGTGCTGACTCTGGAGCCACACTGCCTGAATTGGAACTTCTACTTTGCTACTGCCTAGCTGTGTGATCTGAGTTAGCTGATTAACCTCTCTGTGCCTCAATTTCATTGCCTGTAAAATGGGGATCATCACATATTCTGTCGCACAGGACTATCATATTGCTTGGACAAGGTGACAAGTATAAAACACTTCTAGCTAATACAGCCCATATTCAGTAACTGCCAGCTTCACCATGATCTTCTTGAGTCCTGACAGTCCTATGAGGAGTGATCTATGATCCCCATTTTATTGGAGAGAAGCCAGCAATTGACAGCACCAGGATTTGGATGTTATCTGTCTGACTTGAGGTTCTGTGCTCTCCACTGCAAATTATAACAGGAACATCACTGTCCGCAAGTGCCTCGCCTGAATGTTCTCACTGGGGCTGCTGTCCTGGGCAGGGGCTTCAAAACTGTTCTATCGTAGAGCACACAGCTTTCTTTGCTAAGTAACTTACAGCCTCCCTGAGTCTCAGACTCCGAATCTGCTGATGGGAACCGTAATAAAATATCTCAGTGGTCAGAGTGGTTCCCGTGAGGAGAGGTGGTAGGTAGAAGGTTAAGGGAATGGGCTCCGAGTAAAGCGTGGCTATGTCATTTACTCTGAGATATACAGCCTTTACCTGCATAACGGAGATAAACTGGGATTGAAGTAAGAGATAGGTGAGGCGCGATGTGTATAAAGTGCTCAGACAACTGCCTGGCACATTAAATAATATCAACTATCATGTGTTCAGTTCCTAGCGCAGACTGAGAACACACAATAAAATGCATACAGAGATGGAACATTTTGATGTCTAAACCATCTCCCTACATTTAGTTCTTTGAAAAAGTAAGTGAGGTGGCTGGAGATTGTGGCTAGGACATAGCCTTTGGACAGGCTAGACAGCTTTCATTCCAATTCTTCCATTACACTAGCTGTGTGACCTTAGGCAAGTCACTTAATACTTCTAAGCCTCCATTTCCTCCTCTATAAAATGGAACCAAACACCCAAGAAGACTGGTAATGAGAACACGGTGATCTGAGCAGTACATGGACACAGCCTGCATGAGAGCTGGCACCGGGGCACTCAGGAGAAACTGAGATGGGAACGTGCGTACCTTAATGAGATCTTGCTTTTCCTTTTCCCCACAGGTGATGGCCTTTTTGATGGCTTTTGTTTCTCTCAAGACAGCCTGAGCTTCATCCAGTTTATAGCTGCCCTGAGTATCAGACATTTTCTTATCGATTCTAGGAGATAGGTAATGGGAAAGGTCAGTCTTAGACAGGGTGACACGGGACAGGGTTTCCCCAGGGAAAAAAGCACAAGCCACCGTACTCCAAGGCCCGTAAGAAGTCTCCTCTCTCTGTCTTGCTCACTCTTCCTCCCTGGGTCTTGCCCAGAAGGTCCCTGTTAAACCACACATGTCCCAGAGAACACAGCTGCAAGGTCCTCTAATATCAGCTCTCATGGAAAGCCTTCATCATCACCTCCCTGGTCCTCCAGGCTGAGTAGGGGATTCCCATATTCATGGCATGTAGCTCTGACATTTTAGTCATTTTAACGCATGATAATTTACACTTAGATGGCATCTTTGACCTGACTCTGGCAGGCACAGAACAGTTCTTTAATTTGAGTCTCTTAGCCTTAGCACTCTGGACATTTGGGGCTGGATCATTCTTTGTTGTACTGAGGACGGACTGTTCTACGCATTATAGGATATTTAACAGCTTCCCTGGCCTCAAGTTGTGACAACCGAAAGTATCTCCATGTATTCCCTAACATCCCTTGAGAGGGAGAGAGGGAGTAAAATCATCCCATCAAGAATCGCTTCCTTTTTTTTTTTTCTGAGAGTCTCACTCTGTCACCCTGGGTAGAACGCTGTGGTGTCATCATAGCTCACAGCAACCTCAAACTCCTGAGCTCCAGGGATCCTCTTAGCTCAGCCTCCCAAGTAGCTGGGACTACAGATACCCGCCATGATGCCCTGCTGGTTTTTCTCTTTTTAGTAGAGACCAAGTCTTTTGCTCAGGCTGGTGTTGAATTCCTGAGCTCAGGCAATCCACCTGTCTCGGTCTCCCAGAGAGCTAGGATTACAGGTGTGAGCTACCATTCCTGGCCAAGAATCAGTTTCTCTAATAAGCACATGTTGAGTTGATGAATAGATGAAGAAAAGGTTAGGAGGACAAATGACTCCCAGACCTACTGCCCATTAGTAGCATGACCTTGGACATGTCTCTCTAGCACATGCAACCTCAGTTTCCTCCTCTAAAAAAAAAAAAAAAGACCTGGATAAAGTAATCTGCCAGGCCCTTATAGAGTTGTTAGGAATGCTAAATGAGATACAGGATGGAAAATTTTGTCCTGAACTAGGAACTTCTGTACAAATAGACGCAATTAAAACACTACTAGCCCAGAGAGCTTATAGGCTTATCTGGTCCCTACTTATAGGCTCATTTTGATGGGGTGGGGGAGGATTAAAACAAACAAGCAAAAAGGCTAAAGGTCTGGATGTAGTTTTCTGAAGGTCAGACCACACCAGAGCTGGGGTCTGAGTGCTGAGCTTGTGGAGAAGGAGGGTTGTGGTATAGGGAAGGTCCCCAGGGCAGGGACACATTTTCACTGCTTGACGCTTTTGCCAAAGGCTAGGCCTGAGGTTTCAGTCCAAGATGGGGAAAAGGAAGTTTCACAGTCTAAGGGAACACCACAAACCCATTATTTCAGGAGGAAAAACTGCTCACAGGCATTCCTGTGCGGTTACCTGCCACGGGCCAAACTGTCCTGGGCTCAAAATAACCTGAGCGGGGAATCACTCAGGAGAACAGTTTCCACCCTGGCCTCACTGTCTGCGCCAGCGAGCAGAAGACAGAAGAGGCGGGCAGCTAGGTCTCAACACCCACCCCCACCCCGTGGGTAGTTCGGCCTCCGCAGAGGGAAAACAAAGCCCCATTTGTGTGTCCTCACTAAAAATAGCCTGTCTATTCCTTTCGAGGACTTAGGCCCGGGCAGGGCCTGCGAGGTTGGCTAAGATTGGTCTCAGATTTAGTCTGAAGAATTAGTCTAAGGGAGCTTTCTCCAGCACAGCCCTGCCTAAGATGCCCCATGGAAAGGTGGCATCTGCCAGGACTGGAGGTGACCCTGCCACAGATGTAGGGTGGCAGCACAGGGGAGATACTGTTTGTTGGAGGGCATCTAAGGGTTGGGGGTTCTGGGGAGGGGGCTGTGCCCAGCTGTCCTCTGCCAACGGGTGAGAATGGCTTTGAATCCCCAGCAGGACGGGACAGAAGTGGTTTGTCTGCTGGGCCTCTGACAGCCTCTACCTGATTTCTTCAAGGGCCTTAGCAACCCAGGCTCTGGAATTTGGCTCCAGAGAGTGGCTCTGAGAGGGAACACTCTCAGGATGAAGCTGGGGTGGGGGTGGCGGTGGGGGAGAACAAAGGGTCACCATTATGTATGCAGTGAATGAAACATTCTTTTTTTCTTTTAAGGGAAAGAAAAGATGTGTGCATGTGTTTTCAAATTTCCAAATCCCTCAGCTGTCCTTTCTCTGCAGCCTCTTGAGATTCATGCACAGTGGCTGGGGCAGAGGCTCCAGCAGCGGCTCTCCCCTCTGGTCTGGTCCAGATAACTCAGGCCTGGGCATGGTGGCTCCTGGGATGCGCAGAGATGCTGCACTTTCCCCCTCCCACAGGAACGAGATGCCTGGTCTCCGTTCTTTCCTAACTACACGGGCTCAAGGGAGCTGATGGGCCAAAGTCCCAAGCCTTTGTCTCGGTTTTTCTTTTCAATCTCCTCTAAGAGGCATCCTTCCATCCTCCTCAACCTCTTCTTTGTAAAACTAGGGTTGCTGACTATGAATTGAACACATGGCTTCAAAGCACAAAGAAACTCAGCTAGGATAATGAAGGAATCTCAGCTAGTGTAATCACAATCATGACAGGTGACACAACGCTCTTATGAAAAACAAGAGCTGTGTTTTAGCTGCAAGTCAGCTTTTAAGAGTGAAAACTACATTTGGTCAAAGTTATCCTGGAAACTCCTTAAGGATGAGGTTTACTTTCCCCCGTGTTCTGCCAACAGAAGAAGCTGAGAAGTAAAAGCGACTAGATAGTCCCCTGCCACACCTGAGATGAATTCCAAGGGAGCTCGGAAGGGATCTTATACTTCCCAGGTATGGAAAGGGGGTTTATTGAGGATGATGCTAGGAAGAGACGTATTAGGAACCAATAGTCCTGGGTCCAGATCCAGGTCAGGTAGATCCTTGCTAGGGGGCATTGGCTATATTTTTAACACTGTCAGTGCCCTCATCTATAAAACAGGGCAGAACAAAAACTCTAAAGTGTGGGTAAGGAGAACGAAATGAGGTAGCTGATGTGAAGTGCTTACCCAGCAAAGTGTCTAGCCCAGGACAGGTGGATGTAGAGTTCATCCCGGTTCCCATCCAAACAGGCAACCAGCCAGAGGTCACTACCCCACCCCACTCTCACCCAGCCCTCCCTCCATGCCAGCTACCATCACAAGCTTGACATGGATCATTCAATTCAATATTTACAATCACTCATTTTTCACATAAAGAAATTAAAGTTCAAAGGAATTAAGTCACTTCATTCTCTTCCTTCCTTTCTTTCTTGTAGAGTCTTACATTATCACCCTTGATAGAGTGCCGTGCTGTCATAGCTAACAGCAACCTCAAGCTCTTGGGCTCAAGTGATCATCTTGCCTTAGCCTTCTGAGTAGCTGGGACTATAAGTACCATGCCTAGCTAATTTTTAGAGATGGGGTCTTGCTCTGGCTCAGGCTGGTCTCGAACTCCTGAGCTCAGGTGATTAACCTGCCTTGGCCTCCCAAAGGGCTAAGATTACAAGTGTGAGCCACTGCGCCCAGCCTAAGTCACTTTTTGAAGGAACCAGGGAACTGCGACTTGAATCTGTGCTATCTGCCTCTTGAACTACATTCCTAACTCTCTCTACCGAAATGCACATTAAAGCAGCAGCCTTCCCCCCACACTGGGTGCTGAGCCAGGCTTCCGGCTGAGGAGCGTGGGCGGCCAGAGCTGTGAAGGAGTCTTATCTGGGCCTGATATCGAACATGGGGCAGACAGACGGGAGAAAAAGGAGGCTTGTCTTTAGGGTTTCAGCATCAGCTTACCAGATGACAAGGAATTTTCAATGCTGCTACAGGGTGACAAAGTGGTAAAACAGGTTTGTGGTGGCTCAGAGAATAATGGGAAGTGTTCTAACCAGAAGCTCATGAGGATTGCAGGAGCAGGGAGGAGGGAAAGAGCACATTGGGTAAGCTGATGTGGGAGTGAGTAGCTTGTAAACTCTGTGCTCAGAAGGTGCTCCTCTGAAAACGGAGGACTGAGGCTTACGTAGGTCAACAAGAGGACTTTTCTAAGCTCACACTATTGCCTTGACCTGTCATTGGTGCTGCTGAAGATTACCAAGAAGCATAAAGTATGGTCCCTGGCTTTGTTGAATTTAGAACTGGTTTGATAGGATTAGCACATGTATGCATACATGTATAAATTATGTACAGTAGAACCTCCACAGTTGGCCACCATCTTCACTTGACCCAATTTTCACAGATGAGATGTGCATCACATGTACTCAATAGAAGTTCTTTATGTTGACCACCTCCAGATGTTGACCAGTGTGTTACAGTCTCTTGTGTGGTCAACTTATAGAAGTTCTACAGTAGTATATGTAATATACATGGAAACAGACATACATAAAGCCCTTATTTAATTATTTGAGACAGAGTCTTGCCAGGGCATAGGGGTAGTGGCATCATCATAGTTTACAGCAACCTCAAACTCCTGGGCTCAAGAAATCCTCCTGTCTCAGCCTCCCAAATAGCTGGCACTATAGGGCACACACTGCCATGCCTGGCTAATTTTTCTATTTTAAGTAAAGAAGGGAATGGTCTTGAACTCCTGGCCTTAGGTAATCTTCCTACCTTGGCCTCCTAGAGTGCTAGGATTACAGGCTTGGGCCACAGTACCCAGCTTAATGCTATCATTCATAATAATTTGTAAAACAAAAAAATTATACACAATTTATAATATGAAACTATGGCTTCTTTTACCAGGCGAGGACTGGATTCAGGGTGGCTCACTCCAGGTGGTACACACTTGAAGGGTGGGAAGATAGGAATGAGAACCAACCAGCCCCTCAATGGACAGCCACAGTCCCCTCCACTAACAGGGCTTGGAGACACACATCCAAAGGCTTGCAGCGATGGCTAGCAACTGAATAATGGGGATGGACTTGAAGTTCAAGGAATGAGGAAAAGGGAAAAAAAATAAACAAATGACTATGGAAACAGCCATCCGTGCAGGTGTGGCCTCCTGGGAAATCTAAGTGAGATGCCCCCTAGGAGGAAGAAATCTACTGAACATCCTGCCTCGTGCTTCTGAGAGGGCTACCAGCCAACCTGTGTAATGACTGTACACTGAGTCCATCAGATACACTGAACACAACTCAGTGAATGAATCTTGGTAACATGCTGTGGTTAATAATAACAGCAAGCTGACATTTCTTGAATGTTTGCTATGTGACTCAATTTCCTCATCTATAAAATAGGGTTAGCTTAAAGAACATTCCTTACAAAGCTGCTATGAGGATCAAAGGAGTATACCCACACAGAAACACTGACAAGGTTTCTAGGCATAGAGGAAACATGTGTCAAATCTAAACTAATACCTGGATAAATATAATCATAACAGTTAACACGTGACAGTTAACGCAACTGCTCCTAAGAAGCATACAGCTGTATCTTACCTGGCTGCAAGTCAGCTTCTAAAAGTGAAAATTACATTTGGTCAAAGTTAACCCAGGAAATTCCTAAGTCGCCCATAACATACAGTGTACGTGACACAGTGCGTACATTTCTAGTAATTTGCTTTGCCTGGAAGAGATTGCTGCTTTTCAGTGGAGCACTAGGTGAAGTTGCAGTTCACTTTTAGGGGCCACAGAATAGAAAAATGTGTCTGACTGTGTGCCTAGGAGACTATAGGATCTACTACAGGAGATGAGACATGTTGATAGAAGTGTTTAATAATACTTGTTTCCACGACTGGATAGTAAAACTCAGCTGAGCGGAACAGACCTCAACAGCTCTGGGAGCTCAGAGGACGATGGGAGCTCTAGGATCTGAGATCATTTCCCTTTCCTCTTTCCAAAACCCACCAGGGTGATAATATCTTCAGGAAATGCCAGTGAAACAGAGCATGAGTCATGCAGGAGCCACACTTTGAGAAGAGAGAAAGGGACTGAAGGAGGGAGATACAAGAGTGAGCAGGAGGGGAGCCTGGGTGGGGGACCCTCCCATGCTCTGCATGGCAGGGCACACTTACTTCTTCAGAGTTTGAAAGCCTCGCTCTTTGAACTGCAGCTCGTGCTGGAGGTGAACCATCTCTCTCTTCAGCTTGTTGACCTAGAGGGCAGAAGACCACAAACACGAGCTGGGTCAGAGGCTGGCACCATGCTGCAGGCTGCCCACTTCCCAAAGGGCAGCATGACTCAGGTCCACCTCCCTAGGGCCATCTTGGCCACAACCCCTTCCCCCCACCAGGACTGGTCTTGGTCTCTGCAGCTGTGTGTTTTGAGAGCACCTCAGCCAGTTTTCCTGTAGGGAAGACCTAGCCAGCTCTTGCTTCTGGGAAACAGAAAGTGGACAGCAGCTGACTGACCTGGGACAGAGCTGGGCCTTCCCACTTCCTCACTGTGTGACCTCTCTCAAGCCATCTTGCCATCCTGAACCTCCCTTTCCTGTTCTGACCAGGATAGTAGCAATTCTCCAGGTCATGAGCGACTTAAACCCAGCGAAGGCTATATTATAAGAGTGCTTCACATAGAGACAAGGGGCTGTGTAGGAATTTTAGAGGTAGGACACACCCTCGGCACTAGAAATAGCCTGCAGTCTTATTTGGTCCACACTGTATTATTAAACTTTCAAAATGAGTTGCTAACAATTAAACCCTGAGAAATTGCATATAATAAAACTGAATTTGCAGATCTCTCTAAAAACACCTGAAGATCTGGCAACACTGAGCCCACATTCTAACATGGGCATATCAGAGATGAAATTCCATTTCCTCTTTAGACATAATGCACACAGTCACTGCTACTCCCTACTGCCTCACTCCCAGTCCTAGTTCCCCCATGTATGTCTGCTTGCAAGCATCTGAGTTTGTGGGAACTATCTGGAGTTTAACCAGTGTTCAAAATACTGGCTTCACCATGAGCAGGTCATTTAACTGCTATGCCTCAGGTTTTCTATTAGTAAAATAGAACTAATAGTATTTATCCTTTATGATAATAGCACAGGGCCGAGCACAGTGGCTTACCCTGTAGTCCTAGCACTCAGGAAGGCTGAGGTGGGTAGATTACCTGAGCTCAAGAGTTTGAGACCAGCCTGGATAAGAGCAAGACCTTGTCTCTACTAAAAGTAGAAAAACTAGCCAGATGTTGTGGTGGACATCTGTCATAGCTATTTGGGAGGCTGAGGCAAGAGGATTGCTTGAGCCCAAGAATTTGAGGTTGCTGTGAGCTAGGATGTCACAGCACTCTACCCAGGGTGACAGAGTGAGGCTCTGCCCCACCAAAAGATAATAACATAATAATTAAATAAGATAATGAGAATCATCAGTAGCTAGGAAGATAGCAACTGCATTAAGAACTTTAGAGTAAGACTTGAGTCTCTTGTGAGCTTGGATAATTTCTTAGTTCCTCTAAGACCATTTGCTTATCTTTAAAATGCAGATAATGACATCAGCAACTCTGTCAGCTTCTTGAAGGACATAAAATAATACACATGAAGCAGTTTGCCTTATGTCTGGTATATGGTGATTGCTTACTGAATGGAATCACGGTGACCACCACTATCATCATGATTGCTGCTTCTACTGTTAAAAAAGACCTCAGGGATCCCCACTGATGGCACAGGTAAAGAGGTCCTACCCGGGATTTTGCAGTGGCAATTTCAGCTTTCAGGATCTCAGGGTCATACTTAGAGCTGGATGATGAACCAGAGACCACTGTAATGAAAGAAAAAAGGAAAAAAAAAGAATTTCAGTAGGAGAAATATATTTCAGCAAAGTTGGCTTAGTTAGCCAGCTAAATGAACCCAGAATGGAAGGACTAAAAGTGATCAACCCAAATGTTCAATAAAAGGGGGACTTGTTAAATATTGTACATATATAAAATGGGGGCTACGCAACTGATATAATTTAAGGAATGATTTAAATTTGGAAAATCTACACAGTTTGCAGATATAAACAGATACGGATATGTACCTCAGGAAAGGCCAGGAAGAAATGTACCAAAAAGATAACATTGATATCTAAAGAGATTAATAATGGGTTGGGTGCAGTGGCTCACACCTGTAATCCTAACACTCCAGGAAGCCAAGGTGGGTAGTTTGCTTAAACTCAGGAGCTCAAGACCAGCCTGAGCAAAATTGAGACCCTGTCTCCACTAAAAACAGAAAAACTATCAGGGTGTAAGTGGGAAGCACCTGTAGTCTCAGCTACTCAGGAGTCTGAGGCAAGAGGATTGCTTGAGTCTAAGCGTTTGAGGTTGCTGTGAACTATAATGCCAGGGCACTATT